TATAAACAGAATTATGGTACTCCCATGGGCTCCCCGTTGTCTCCCGTCATCGCGGATTTAGTTATGCGTAAATTGGAAAGTAGAGCTTTGTCTTTGATTCAGTTTCCGTTGCCCCTTTACTAGGTATGTTGATGATATAATCATGGCAGCGCCTGTTTCTTCGGTTAGTTCCATTCTTGATGTTTTTAATTCTCAGCATTCTAGGCTTCAGTTTACTATGGAGGTGGGGGTGATAGGTTAAATTTTTTGGATGTTACAGTAATTAGGGATAATGAGTTGATAGAGTTTGATTGGTACCACAAGCCAACCTTTTCGGGTAGATATTTGAACTTTTGGTCACAGCACGCGGTTTCTCCAAAATGAGTTTAAAACTATTATCGATATGACAATCTGCCTCAGGAATTGTTTCAATGATAATACTATGAAGAAACACTGCTAACAAATATAATGGGCTGTTTATCGAAGAAATTATTATACGAAAGGGGCAGTTCTGCGGTTGAAGAATACTATTATGGCTAGTAATAGGAAGAGGGTTGTTAGTGATAATAGCGTTGATGTAGTACAGCCTTCGTGGTTCACTGTCCCTTTCGTTCGTGGTATTACTGAGAAGTTCAATAGATTGAATAGCGAGCATATGAGGGTGTCATTTTATAGTGTTAATAAATTGCAAAAATTTATTAGGGTGCATAAGGACCCCTTACCGCGTGATAAGAAGTCGAAGGTTGTTTATAAGATTTCGTGCAAGAACTGCGACGCGAGTTATGTTGGACAGACGTGTAAACAACTGAAGTCAAGAATCACGGAACATAAGAACCACATCCGATGGAACACGTCTGCTCGCAGTGTTATAACGGAACATCGGTTGCAAGAGGGACATGATTTTGACTGGGACAGCGTTGCAATATTGGACGAGGAACCTCACTACAGGAAGAGACTGATTTCGGAGATGATATTCATCAGAAGACAAACGCATGGACTCAACCTGCAGACGGATATGGAGGGGCTTCCGAAGGCCTACCTCCCGATTATAGATAAACTATAAAAGCTCGAGTTGTTGTCACGTCTTGTCAGTCGGTGTCGCTCGTACACAGTAATAAGTCCTTCTGACGAGATTTTTTATCACTTTACAATTGTCATTAGTACTAATAATAATAATAATAATAATATCCTGGGAGGCAGCCCCTAATTGGGGCCCACCAACGGCACGCAGACCAAGTCCATTGTGTCTTCCCAGCCTTACTAACCCCAGGTCCGAATTACATGCAATTTAACTTGGCGCCAATTGCTGATATCAAATCTTTTATATGAATAATACATATCATAAGAGTTAAGTAATATTATATACAAAGAACCGGTTTCACCAATTCGGTTAAGCCGAATCAACCATAAGTGTCAACCATAAGTGGTCAATTCCACTAAACAGTAAACGCGATTAGTCAATTCCACGGCGAATTAAGTAATTGGCGTTGGTAAAACCGGCCCAAATAATTTTTACAAGAAACACGCACGCTTAGCGCTTTTTTTACCTTTTTTTAAAAAGGTAAGTTTGTATAAATAACATGAAACAGTACCATTTGTGTTTTACTTTTTAATTTGATAGATGAAATTTAACTTGGCGCCTGTTGTTGATATCAAATCTTTTATACACATGATACATATCATTAGAGATAAGTAAACTCAAAAATGTAAACCTTTAAAAATTAAACTTTTTTCTGATAATATATTGTTTCACATATACATATATTCAAAAATTCAAATGATTATCTGATAATATATTACCATGACAAGTAACTGATATATTAATAAAGGTGCCAGTTCAAAGTGAACATACATAAATAAAGTGTATATTATCTAAAGGACCCCGCACTATCCTTATGGGAAATGGGGTTCCGCGGATTTGGCTCTACTTTTGCCAATTTCTTGTTTAAGCCATACTGATGAAAAGTTCTCATGGTCGCAACTTAATCCTATGAGCCATTTTCAATGTAGAGTCGCTCGAATGTCTGTAATAGTACGATTTTCTATACATCCTAGGTAACAAGATGATGTCAAATGACGTCTTAATAACAAGGCGAAATAAGCCGATGTCAATAGAGAGAGGCTATAGTGGGATGACTCCCGTCTTGCCCCGATTATCACACCCTCCCTTGCCCTAAATAACAGCTCATGCTCCGTCTATAAACATTCCGTTACACGCACTTGACAACATCGTTTGAGTTGCCATTCCGTTCTCTTTTGAACGTGTTCTATTAACGATCTCCTCGAATAAAGATTCTTACCGCATTTCGTAACGCAATTTTTTGTGAGTGCATTCTCACTGTCTATCTTCTCGTTAGATCTCCTGCTAACACGCCTTCATTTTAGCATCACTGGTTAAGACCTCGCGAGACTCACGCTATACGTCCGAATTAGAATTATCATCTAACGATCTAATCAAACTCTTTCGTTTTCACTCATCCTGAACTCTTTACAGCCGACCGTCACTCGTCACTTTTGATACGCTAACGTCTCGCTCTCTTGTACCTCGTATGATACGAGACTCTCGTCGAACCCATTGTTATCTATTTGCGCTTTCTACGGAAAACGTCTCACCTCTCTCGGACTCGCCGTTCCAATACACTTTTCTCCTCGAGGACTCTTCTGCTATGGCATTTCGAATCCGCTTTAATTGTTATGTGTGCAACTCTGTCTGTGAAGCACAGCAATCTGTTCGCATTAATCGAGAAGATAACTTGGTTAAAGTTGAAATTATGACTTTCAGACGAGATACAAGAAATCTTCCAGATGTAAATGTGGATGAAAACACTCGTATCTGTAGTAACTGCAATCGATCAATTATTGAAGAGATACGACAAGTAGAACTGAATCCAGAGTGCTTAAGACTGAACGTCTTAGCACAGACATCGTGGAAAACATGTTTATTTTGTAATGCAGCTAATAATCTTCACAGACTCTCTGTTTCAAGTAGAGTAAATGTATTCGTTATCAGAAATATTTACATCCCTGAAGAAGTTAGATGTTGTCAAGTACATTTAGATGATGAGGGGTACATTTTTCCGTACTTACTGTTAGGTTTACAATTCGTTAACCGTCCTTATATCATCAAGGGTACTCAGTTGTTACCTTTCTTACAATGTCTACGAAATGTAGCTAACAACGGCTCAGAGAGAAAGTATAGTCATGAAAATAATTTTTCTGACAAAGAGTTCAAATCAATAGCTCCTATAACAAAAGAACAATTCAGGGATTTGTTTGAATTTTGTGATCCTGTTGTTGATGATACTCAAATTCGAAATATTACAAGAAAAGACCTCATAGCTTTTTTATGTAAATTGCGACAAGGATTATCCGATGAATTTCTACGTTTTATATTTAACTATCCTTCCAGACAAAGCACAAGCCTTGCCATTGGCAATGTACGCAAATCCTTAATGCGACGATTTGTACCACAAAATATAGGGTTTCAAGCAATAACGAGGGAAGAATACATACGGCTGCATGTATCTGATTTCGCAAACGAATTATACAATGCAAATCCTGAATACCGTAAGGCAATTGTATATCCTGATGGTACATATGCTGATATCCAAAAAAGTAGTAACTTTAGAGCTTTACGTCAATCTTATTGTTTCCACAAAGGACGTCACTTACTGAAGCCTCTTTTAATCGTTGCTCCAGATGGATATATTCTTCATATTTTTGGACCATATTTCTCAGATTCTCGAAATAATGATGCCGCAATTCTGCGAAACGAATTTGAACGAGATGTTGGTCTAATGAGGGAATGGTTTGAAGAGGAAGATATTTTTATTGTCGATAGAGGATTCAGAGATGCTATTCCGATACTTCATAGATTAGGTTTCGATTATCGGATGCCGCCTTTGTTGAAACGAAATGAACGCCAATTTTCCACAGATGAAGCTAATGAAGCTCGATTGGTCACTAAAACAAGATGGATTGTTGAAGCTCGTAATGGCCATATCAAATCTATTTTTAAATTCTTTGGTGGAACTATTATTATGCCTCATGCAATCAATCTTCGTGATTTCTATCATATAGCAGGTGCAATAATCAATCGCTATCATGGCCCAATAACAATGGATAATGCTACAGTGGAATTTGCTAGAACGTTGCTGCATAGGTTTAAGGAAATTAATGTAGTACAAGCTAGAGTCGAAGGTGAAGGTTTGTGCAGAAGACATGCGCAATGGAGGCCATTACGACAAAATCATTTACTGTCATTTCCACATTTAACATTGGAGTATCTAAGAGATCTAACAGTTGGTGTATACCAGATAAATCTAGCATCATCTTATATACAGGAAAAGTTACAGAGAGACGAAAGTGAACAGCTTCAAGTAGATGAAAACATTAACGAACCAGGTTTTCTAAGGATCCGCTTATTTTCGAGATTCACAAATGCTGCGAAGCATCAAATATTTGTAGCTTTTAATATCAGGAATGAAGATGATGATAATGATGATAATGAAGAATATGAAAATAGTATTACTCCCATTCTTGGATACTATTGTACTTGCAAATCTGGTGGTAGGACTCTCGGATCTTATGCACATGTAGCAAGTGTACTTTGGTATTTGGGACATACAAGACATCTCAATGATATTAAGTATCCATGGACAAGATTAACACAGGTAATACTGGATGCTGATAACAGATTAATGCAGGATAACTTAAATGAAGGATTCGAAGTAATTGAAATTGAAAATTGAGGGAAAACCCCGATTGCAACATAATAATCATTTTTTATAGTATGAAATACATACTGTAATAAACATTTATTACATTATAAATGGGATATTTAAAATCTCTAAATCATACTATTGAATATTGAAACCTTCACCCCTCCATAAACACACACACGCGCGAATACACACACAGCAAAGAGGGTTTGGAGTCGTTAAATACTATGGGAGTGACGAACCGTAGGGTCCTTATCTCTGCTACGACACACACACACACACACAC